GATTAACTTTGGAAAGTTTGTTCTGCCAGTCTTTGGGTCATTTTCTAAGTTAGTTCCTTTTTTTTTTTTTAAGATTTTATTTATTTATTTGTCAGACAGAGAGAGAGAGCATGCACAAGCAGGGGGAGCAGCAGGCAGAGGGAAAAGCAGACTCCCTGCTGAGCAAGGAGCCTGATGCGGGACTCGATCCCAGGACTTCGGGATCATGACCTGAGCCGAAGGCAGACGCTTAACTGACTGAACCACCCAGGCATCCTGTTAGTTCCTCTGATGTGGCTTTCTAGGTGTGTTTGTGGGACGAGGTGAGCTCAGAATCCTCCCAATCTGCTATTTTTCTCCTGCACCTTACATCTGCACCATTTTAACATTCCTAGCAACAGTGTGCATAAGGGTTCCAATTTTCCACATCTTGGCCAATGCTTGTTATTTTCTGGGGGGAAAAGTTTTTTTTTTTTCAAAGATTTTATTTATTTATTTGACAGAGACACAGCAAGAGACGGAACACAAGCAGGGGGAGTGGGAGAGGGAGAAGCAGGCTTCCTGCCAAGCAGGGAGCCCGAAGTGGGGCTTGATCCCAGGACCCTGGGACCATTACCGGAGCCGAAGGCAGACTCTTAACGACTGAGCCATCCAGCGCCCTGTTATTTTCTGAATTTTTGATTGTGGCCATCCTAATGGTTTGGGGTCGTGATTTGCATACTCCTGATAGTGATGTTGAACATCTTTTCATGTGTTTATTGGTCATTTCTATTTTTTTGGAGAAATGTCTATTCAAGTCCTTTGCCCATTTTTAAATTGGACTGTTTGAGGTTTTTTTGTTATTGTTGAGTTGAAGGACTTTTTTTCTGGGTATTAACCCTTTATATATATATGGCTTGCAAATATTTTCTTCCTTTCTGTGGGTTCCCTTTTCACTGTGTTGTTTCCTGTGCTGCACAGACGTTTTAAAGTTTGATGTAGTCCCATTTGTCTGTTTTTTTTTTCTTGTTGTCTGTACTTTTGGTGTTAAATCCAAGCAGTCACGCCACATCTAGTGTCATGAAGTTTTTCCTCTGTGTTTTTTTCTAGGAGTTTTATAGTTTCAGGCATCAGTGTTCCTAAGATTTATAGGTTTGTAGTTTTCTCATAGTCTTTGTTTAACTTTGATATCGGGGTAGTGCTGGCCTCATTGAATGAGTTAGGATGTTTTCTGTCCTCTGCAATTTTTTGGGAAAAGTTTGGAAGGAATAGTATTAGTTCTTCTTTAAATGTTTGGTAGAATTCACTAGTGAAGCCCTTAGGTCTAAGTCTTTAATTTGTTGGGAGATTTTTGATTATTGATTCAATCTTCTTAATAGTTATGTCTATTCAGATTTTCTGTTTCTTTGTGATTTAGATTTTGTTTCCTAGGAACTTGTCAATTTCATACTCAATTTGTTGTACAATTGTTCATAGTATTCTCTTATAATTCTTTTTATTTTTGTAGAGTCAGAAGTAATGTTTCCACTTTCATTTCTGATTTTATTAATTTGAACCTTCTCTCTTTTTGTCTTACTTGATTCAGCTGAAGTTTTGTCAATTGTGTTGATCTCTTCAAAGAACCAACTTTTGGTTTGTTTTCCTCTATTGTGTATCTGTTTTCTATTTCATTTATCTCTCTTCTAATCTAAATTTCATTTCTCCTAGCTTTGGGTTTAGTTTGTTTTCCTTTTTCTAGTTTTTTTTTTTTTTTAAGAATTTATATATTTATTTGACAGAGAGCACAGATAGGCACAGTGGCAGGCAGAAGGAGAAGCAGGCTCTCCACTAAGCAGAGAGCCCGATGTGGGGCTCGATCCCAGGGCCCTGGGATCATGACCTGAGCCGAAGGCAGACGCTTAACCGACTGAGCCACTCAGGTGCCCCCCTTTTCTTGTTTAAGCTAGATTTGAGATTTTTGATTTGAGATTTTTAAAAATATGTTTATAGCATAAGTTTCCTCCTTAGCACTGCTTTCACTGTGGCTACTGTCAGTTTTGGTATGTTGTGTTTTTGTTTTCATTTGCTAAGTATTTTCTGTTTTGTGATTTCTTTGATCCATTGGTTGTTTAAAAGTGTATTATTTTTCCCAGTCCTGCCAATTTCCCATTTTTCTTTTGTCATTGATGTCTAAATTCATCCTTTTGTAGTTAGAAGATACTTGGTATGCTGTTTATCTTTTTAAATCTATGAGGCTTAATTTGTGGCCTAACAATGGTCTATTCTGGAAAATGTCCCATGTGCACTTGAGAAGGATGGGTATTGTGTTGTTGGGTAGAGTGTTCTTTTTATGTCTTAGATCTAGTGGGTTTATTGTGTGTGGTGTTCTCTATTCTGTCTGGTTGTTCCATGCATTGGAGTATTGGAGTCTCCAGTAATTCTGGAACTATTTGTCACTTCATTTCTTTTAGTTTTTGCTTCATGTATTTTCATGATTTGTCATTACAGGCATAAATCTTTGTAATTGTTATATCTTCTTGCTGTGTTGATCCTTTGTTAATATATCATATCTTTCTTTGTTTCTTGTAACATTTTTTGACTTAAACTTTTTTTATCTGGTACTAGTATAGCTGTATTTCCTCTCTTTTGGTTATTATTTGCATGGAATATTTTTTCCATTCTTTTCATTTTAACTTGTTTGTGTCTTTGGACACAATTAGTAATTATTAAATTTTGATCTAAAATTTTTAATTTCTGATTTTCAGTTTATTTTAAATTAGTCCCCCTTAGGTTGTATAGGAAATAAGATTTGGTGTTACAAATGAAAGTTACAGTAATATCAGCTTTGACTTTAATAATTGCTTTTTCTTCTTTAGATGTATTAGTCTCTTAAATCTGTAGAAAAACAAAATGTGGTTACAGACCATTGCTACAGTAATACCAGCTTTTGTAATTACCCATGTATTTACTTTTACTGAACTCTTTATTTTTCCATATGGCTTTGAGTTACTGTTTAGCATTCTTTCTTGAATGCTTGAATATTTCTTGAATATATATTTATTTGACAGAGAGATAGAGAGTACAGATAGGCAGAGTGGCAGGCAGAGGGAGAAGCAGGCTCTCCGCTGAGCGGAGAGCCCGATGCGGGGCTCAATCCCAGGGCCCTGGGATCATGACCTGAGCCAAAGGCAGACACTTAACCGGCTGAGCCACTTATAGTCTCTCTTGAATATTTCTTGCAGGCTGGGTCTAATGGTCACAAACTGTCCCAGCTTTAGTTTATCTGGGAATGTCTTAATTCTTCCCTCACTTTTGAAGGATATTATTGCCGATACAGTATTTTTGATTGACAGTTTTTGTTTTTTAGTACCTTGAACATATCTGCCCACTCTTTCTGGATTCCTAAGTTTCTTATAAAAAAATCTGATACTCTTATTGAGGAATCCTGTATCTGATGATTTACTTTTCTCTTGTTATAGATTCTCTTTTTATCTTTGTCTTTTGGAAGCTTGGTTATAATGTCTTGGTGTGGTTTTCTTTGAGTTCTCTTTTGTAGAACTTTTTGAATGTTTATATTCATCAAATTTGGGGAGTTTTTAGTCATTATTTCTTCCCCTTTCTCTCTCTCTTACTCTTCTAGGATTTCTACAATGTGTATATTGGTCTGTGTGATGTTCCACAAGTCTTTTAGGTTCTGCTCATGTTTCTTCAATTTTTTCTTGAGAGTCAATAATTTCCATTGTCTTGTTTCAGGGTTGATAATTCTTCTGCCTGTTCAAATCTTTCCTGAGTCCCTCTAGTGAATTTTTTATTTCAGTTATTGTGCTTTTCAGTTCCAGAAACTCTTTTTGGTCTCTATTTAGTTTTCCTGTTTGATGGTATTGATTGTTTTCTTGACTCCACATCTTCCTTTAGTTCTTTGAGCATCTTTATTTATTTGTTTATTATGTTTAGTCAGCCCCTAAAGCATCTTTAAAAGAGTTGTTTTAAAGTCTTCATTTAGTATAAATCCCATTAGTTCCTTTTTTTTTTTTTTAGGACAGTTTGTTGTTTGGCCACCTGCCCCCCCCCCACCCCGCAAAAATGTGTTCTATCGTATGCCTTGTGATTCTTTTGTTGAACACTGGGCATTTGAATTTAATAATGTAGTAATTCTGGAAATCAGTGTCCAGATTTAATCCAATTCTTCTTCAAGTTCTATTTTTTTTGTTACTTTTTCCCCCCTTCTTTTTGATTATTATAGGCCATCTCTATGCTGAGGATCAAGCTGAGGTATAATTTAAGGTCGTCTTAGGTCTTTTCTGAGCATTTCCTTTGGCATGCATTGTCACTTTCTAATTTTACTTGTATATACTCTTATTTTATATTGTCTTGCTTCTGAAAAGAAAAAAGAAAAACAAATGAGTGGGAAGGAAGGACACAAGCCTTTTCAATCCTCTGGAAGTCACTTCAGCCAAGAGGGAGGGACTTGCAGCAATAGGTGGAGGTGTATTAACATGGCTATCCACCTCTTTATCGACACCTCTGTGATCAGAAGCAGTAGTCAGCAATCAGCAGAGATCCCTGATATTTGGAGGACTGGGTCCTTTTTGTCCACCCTGATTCCTGAAAACTGTGCAAACTCTCAGGAACGTGCACACAGCTGCTTACTTGCCACTTGACTGAGGATGTGGGGATGGGCCGCTGCTGCTGCTGAAAATGACCAAAACTAAACATCTCAAGTCTTTCCCTGGAAATTGCAAGCCTTCAACAGACTCCACAGAGTTCCAAAATAGTTATATTAGGCAGATTCTGCTAGTGCAATTGTTGCCTAGGTGGGGAAGACAGATTCCTGATGCTTCTATTCCACCATCTTCCCAGAATTTTCAAATTAGATTTTAAAGGCATTCCTTCACTGAAATAATTAGCTGAGGTAACTTATATGACATTTATCATAAAGCTACAAAGTTACTTTTTCTTTTTTAAGTAATAATTTATGTGGTCATTTTACATATGTAGCTTTGGTAAACTAATTACCAATGATTTTTTTCTTTCGGTGAATTTTTATATGTTTTGTTTTTTAATCTCAGGAAACTGGACAATGACAGTTTGAGTGGATTTCGAAAAATGTCTGAAGGTTAGCGGGCAGCATCTATCTTCTGCCTTTTCCCACTCTTTACAAAAGAATAAATGGGATGTTTGAGAAGAGAGCTATATTAAAAGAAGAGTGTTGCAAATGGCTTCAGAATCTGTGAATGCAAAACAAGCTAGGAATCACTGCACAAAGGGGAAAAGGCAGCAGCAGCAAATAAAGAATAGGTCTTCAATTAGTGATGGTGATGGAGAAGACTCCTTTATCTTTGAAGCAAATGAAGCTTGGAAAGATTTTCATGGTTCCCTTCTTCGGTTTTATGAAAATGGAGAACTCTGTGATGTCACACTAAAGGTGAGACTTTTTTTCTTTTTCAACCTCTTTATTGCATTATGAAAAATGAAGGTTTCTAGAACCACACAAGGCAGATTTTTGGTGCCATACTTATTTGTTACAGTCAAGGTGATTTTAGTCTTCATCCTTTTTTATTGAAGGTGAAAGGACATAAGGGAAGGTATATAAAGGGAGGTTAGCATAAGATAAAATTATTGTACTAATTAAATGTTAATATTCATTATTTCTTGGTTAATTTTACTTCTGAGAGTTCTGGAACTTTAAAATGTTAAATAGTTATTAATGAAATTAATAAAGTGCTGTTGACCAGTAAGCTTTTAACTCATGAATTTAGAAATTACTTAGAAAGTTAGGAAGTCTTGGTTGTTTATTCAACTGCACTAGTATTTTAGTGTATGTTCCTATCTGGTAATTTAACTGCTACTTTAAAACAGTTGTCACTTGAGTGAGATTATCTATACCTGATAGTGAAGTAGAATCTATTTAGACTTGGATGAAAAAGTGTAGTAAATTTTAAATCTGTGGTCTATAGAATCATGTTATTCTGCAAAAGACAGTTTTAGTAAAATTGGAAGAGTGATAAAGCAGTGTGGAAGAATCCATGTTCTAATTGTTTGTCATTACTTGTTTAAGGTACTTTTTTTACTATTCTTCTATGTCAGTGTAATATGAAAATTTTTTTTGGTGATTCATATGCATTCATGGAGCATTTTCCACATTTGATTTGCCACTTTGAAATCTCTTAAAATTTTGCTTTCTGCTCTTGATCAGGCAAGTTTTTAGAGCTGAGTCATAGGGATTGAAAACCTACTTCAAGAATCAGATCAGAGAACACTCAACAAAAGTCTATAAACTGAAAGCATAAGCTTTGAGTTTCAGGTCCAGAATGTCTGGGACTATAGTATTATATTGTGAATAAACTGTTGCTCTTCCCTATGTATTTCCAGGTCCTAAGATATTGAGAAGAAAACCATTATATAATTCTAGCTCTGTGTGAAATTTAGCCATGTATATATTTTAGTGTAGGAACACTTAAGTTTTTTTGTTCTGTATGGTATGTTTAATTTTATGCCATTGTCCTAATTTTCACCCTTGCTGTGAAATTCAGTGACCCACACTGGCTTTGGCAAAAACAAAAACTGTAAAATAGATTATTTTAATTCAGTCAGTTATCATTCAACATATCAATGTATGAATGGAAAATAAGTAAAGTATTGATTTTATAAATTTTATAATTGAATTTTAGAATGATTTTTACAACATAGTGCATACAGATTTTCTTAAGTAAAAAATAGGGATATAGCCATTTTAGGGCAAGTGAGAACTCATAACTTTATTGCATAACATAGGCAATAGATTGAAATAGAAACTCCCACAGAATCAGTGGTTGAAAACTAAAATACTGTGTTTTAAACAGTGACAGATCTTTTGGGAATGAGAAACACTTCATTAATTTAAAGGGACGATCATTTTTACTTTTTCAACTATAAAATTAGAGTGATGATTAGGTTTTTGTGAGGAATAAGTGAATTGATACAAGTGAAGTCCTTATGGCAGGCTTGGTATAGAATAGATCACAAATATCCTCTATTTGGATCATTATGTGTACTATTATTGTTGTTCCAAGGGTATCAGATAATTCTGCTATGGTATATTTTGTTCCTATTGATTAAAGTATTACAACTTGGGATGCCTGGGTGGCTCAGTCAGTTAAGGGTCTGCCTTTGGCTTACGTCATGATCCCAGAGTCCTGGGATTGAGTCCCGCATCGGGCTCCCTGCTCAGTGGGGAGCCTGCTTCTTCCTCTGCCCACCGCTCCCCCTGCTTGTGCTCTTTTTCTCTCTGACAAATAAATAAATAAAATCTTTAAAAAGTATTACAATAATCTTTAAACAGGTCTATTATTGGATTGTTTCTTAACTCTAATTCAACATTTCTTCACCTGTCAGAATTTAACTGTCGTAGAACAACTAAGTCAAATAGGGTTATGGATAATTTATAATGCTCTGTTCAACATAAACTTCACTTTTTATATTCATATAACTTTTAGGATTATTCTGTAATATAAAGTCATCTACATTCTTTTATTAGTATGTTTCCTTTGATCATTATTGCTTTTAGGACACAGATTTTATTTTATTTTATTTATTTTATTTATTTTAAAGATTTTATTTATTTGACAGAGAGAGACACAGCGAGAGAGGGAACACAAGCAGGGGGAGTGGGAGAGGGAGAAGCAGGCCTCTCGCAGAGCAGGGAGCCCGATGCGGGGCTCAATCCCAGGATCCTGGGATCGTGACCTGAGCTGAAGGCAGACACTTAACGACTGAGCCACCCAGGGTCCCTGAGACACACATTTTAGAAAGATCATTGAGCTGGCTCAGTCAGTGGAGTATGTGACTCTTGATCTCGGGGTTGTAAATTTGAGCCCTACACTGGATATAGAGATTACTTAAAAATAAAATCTTTAGGGGTGCCTGGGTGACTCCGTCGGTTAAACATCTGCCTTTGGTTCAGGACATTATCCTGGAGTGCTGGGATTGAGCCCTGCATTGGGCTCCCTGCTCAGCGGGGAGTCTGCTTCTCCCTCTGCCCTTACCCCCACTTGTGCTCTCTCTCTCTCAAATAAATAAATAAAATCTTTAAAAAAAAATAAAATCTTTTTAAAAAAAAGGCAGTTATCCAGATTTTATTATTTGTATATAAGGTCATTAGCTGATTTTTAAAGTCCAAAATGAGCACCTATATTAGAAATAACAAATACATTTATTTAGCATATATTTACTAAGGTCTTACTCTAGTACGTGGAGAGTATAAATAAACTTGAAATTTGAATAATATTCTTTTCTTGCCTTGAAGGCATTTGAAATTTAGCCGGAGATAGGCACAAACACAGTGAATGATAGTACAATTTAGTGATTATCATTTTTGTGTTATTTTTATGGTAGCATAGGAGAGGATTTATGAATTATGCCTGAGAGGTGATTGGAAAGGCTTCACATAAGAGATTATTATCTAGAGGTCATTCCAGGGAGAGGTAAAACTTGTTTATATATTGTTTTGTTTATTAATGAAAACATTTTGAACAGTATATCCAGTAGCAGGTCTAAAATTATGTATGGGGCAAGCTTCTTAAGGGCAACAATTTGGTTGGATAAAGGATGGGGAAATTTGTCTTGCAGAGGTATTGCATGGCACTCATAATACTTAAATTATATGTTATAGATCAAAAGGAGTAACATTACAAAGATGCTTATACTCATGCTTTATGTAGTTTGAGGAAATGTAATTCTTATTAAAGATTATAGTTAATTTTACTTAAAGAGGTTAACAGATTATTAGAGGAAGGAAACCCCCTACATCACCTGTTGATGCTGCCACTGAATATGTTTTATTCATATCTTTTGGCTTTTTTTTTTGAAAGTACATGTTTCTGTAATTTTTTAAACAAATATTTATAGAATTCTAATAAATAGTTTCAAGACTAAGTGTCATAATTTTTTGGTGTCAAACTTCTAAATGACCAGATATGAATAAGTCCTCCAAAAGATTTCAGGGAAACAAAATATATGAACTACATTATACTAGCATACTTCCAAGAGGTAGAAATGATAAAATTATTAGCCTTATAAATGTAACAGATAACTCCTGACTGGAAGGCAGACAAATCTAATAAAAGAAAAATGATAAAGGAGGAGGTGATTTTATATTTAACACTTAAGCATTCTATGTTAAACAGTGTAATAAATGATCACTTTTACTTTCTGATGTTCAAGTAATAAATTGATATTTTGATTTTTTTCATGTTCAGAAAAGGAGCTATTTAAATATTTATATTTGTCCATCCTTGTTTATTTGATCTCTAAAATGTTATCCATTGTTTCCATTATGCAGATGTAATAATAAGATAAAATAAATATGTAATAAAGATGTAATAAAGATGTAATAAAAAGATTTTATTTATTTGTCAGAGAGAGAGAGAGTGCAAGCATGCCCAAGCAGGGGGGGTGGCAGGCTGAGGGAGAAGCAGGCTCCCCACTGAGCAAGAAGCCTGTTGTGGGACTCGATTCCAGGACCCTGGGATCATGACCTGAGCTAAAGGCTTAACTGACTGAGCCACCCAGTTGTCCCTCATTTCTAAATTTATTATTTTTTTAAGATTTTATTTATTTATTTGAGAGAGCAAGAAAGAGAGAGGGAGAGAGCACAAGCAGGGGGAGAAGCAGGCAGAGGGAGAAACAGACTCCCTGCTGAGCAGGAAGCCCGATGTGAGGCTCGATTCCAGCACCCTGGGATCATGACCTGGGCCGAAGGCAGACGCTTAACCGACTAAGCCACCCAGGCATCCCTCATTTCTAAATTTCTGATGAAAGGTTCTTTCATTCCTAAATTTCTGATGAAATGTTTTTGGTAATTGATAATTATTTTTATGTACCAGAGCAGAAGAATATAGAAATAAACTTTGAGTAATATAATGAGACTATATAATGTCAAAGGAGAATCAATGCATAAAAAGCCAAATATTTTGATGTTGCTATTTCATACACATGGCTCAAAGACCTTTTTAAAATTAATATGGGTATTTTTTCTAAAAGCACACATGGGTGTGATTGTGTGTGTATTAAATATTCAAATTTTAGTTTATTTGAATCAAATTAAAAGAGTTATTGCAAGACAAAGCCTCATGAACAATATGAAAATAGTTTGTGGTCCATCGATTTATACAGCTTGGATAAGAAAGCAGTGTTAAAATAATGTTTAACTGGTAATTGTAGAATTCTGTTTTTTGTAATGGCAAGTTGTTGAAGCAGATTTATGTCATGTGAGATTTACAGATATTTACAAAGAAACTAAATGTCAATGGTGGCATATGCAGATATTCTTTTTTTTTTTTTTTTTGAAGATTTTGTTTATTTATTTGACAGAGACACAGCAAGAGAGAACACAAGCAGGGGGAGTGGGAGAGGGAGAAGCAGGCTTCCCGCTGAGCAGAGAGCCTGATGCGGGGCTCAATCCCAGGACCCTGGGATCATGACCTGAGCCGAAGGCAGACACTTAACGACTGAGCCACCCAGGCGCCACCAGCATATGCAGATATTCTTAAAAAAAGGATATTTTTAGCCTGTTTTTAAAATGTTTAATATCAGGTTTCAGATCCCATTTTAGGACTGAAGTGAATTTGAAAACATGCCAAGCTTTCTGCTTTAGTCTAGGTTACACCTTGAATCTCAGTAGAATCTAAATCCTGCCTTGTGAATTCTTTTAGAAAATTAAATATAGTATAACTAACAGAAATGATTATCCTGTATTTGTTGAAGGGATATTCATTTTTCTTCCACGGTAGTGAAAAAAGGTCAGGGAGGAACATTTATAAACAAAAGCCTTTATACATTATAATACTCCTCAGGCCTTTTTCTTTAGAAGTTCTCATTTTAAAATTCATTCCCAAATAATGAGACACAACTATAAGTGTATTATACAGTCAAACTGCTACAGGCAAACAGGAAAATTTATAAAACACTATCCTATTACTTGTACTTAATGATTATTTAACATAAAGTGCTTGGAAAACTGGATACTCAGTACCAAAAACTTCCAGATGGAAATAAAGATGTAAGTGTAAAACAGTAAAGCCATAAAAATACTGGAATACCTGAAGTTAACATTTATGGACTATTAGAATGATTCCAATTTTAAGCATAACATCTAAGGCAGAAATAATAAAGACAAAGATCAATTTGATTGTGTAAAAATCTATAGGGGGTGAATTAAAAATACATCATAAAAGAGAAAAGCTTGAAATAAATATGACAAACGACTCACACTCTAAATGTATGAGGAGTTCTTACAAATACATATGAAAAAAGTCACATAGGAAAAAGTTCATAGAAGAGATACAAATAGCCCAAAATTAATGAATGATTCAATGATATATTAGTAAAAAATAAAACAGTGGGATAATATTTTCATTCATCAAATTGACATATATTTTTTGATAAGTTAGCAGTCAAAATATGGCACAGATATTGTAGGTAGATCAGAAATAGACAATTTAGCAGTGTACATCCAAACTGCACCTATACTTTGAAATACCATTTCTACTTTTAGGAATTTATCTGTAGGAAATAATGGAGTGTGAACAGATTTAGTGAGCAAAGTTTACTGTGTCAATAACAACAGCAAACTATTGACAGTAGTGTAATTTTTCAACAAATAAGGTGGTAAGATTTCAGTGTTTTTATTATTTCAAAATAATTTAAGAAATGAAAAAACTTTAGTTAAGCTCTTAGTAAATACTACTAAATAATGGTTTGTTCTGTGCTTCAATGTTCTCACTAATAAATAGTAGATCATAATAGTACCTACTTATAGGGGCATTGGGACAATTGAGTTAATATGTGAAAAGCACTTAGAATAGTGCTTGACATGGTGACTGTAATTAATACTGTGTTATATATTTAGAAGTTGCTAAGAGAAGAGATCTTTTTTTTTTTTTAAAGAGGGAGACACAGCAAGAGAGGGAGCACAAGCAGGGAGAGTGGGAGAGGGAGAAGCAGGCTTCCTGCAGAGCAGGGAGCCCAATGTGGGGCTCGATCCCAGGACCTGGGATCATGACCCGAGCTGAAGGCAGACGCTTAACGACTGAGCCACCCAGGCGCCTGAGAAGAGATCTTTTTTTAAAAAAAAAATATTTATTTGAGAGAGCGTGCATACCTCAGCATGGGTTGGGGAGAGGGGCAGAGGGAGAGAATCCCAAGCAGACTCCTCACTGAGTGTGGAGCCCAGCGCGGGGCTCGCTCTCATGACCCGTTAGAGATTATGACTTGAGTGGAAACCAAGAGACAGATGCCCAACCGACCGAGCCACCCAGGTGCCCCTAAGAGAAGAGATCTTAAAAAGCTCTTATCACAGGGAAAGAAAAAATTGTAATTATGTGAGGTGTTAGTTAATAAACACTGTGGTAATCATTTCATGATATATACATACATGAAATCACTACGTTGTATAACTTAAACTTACAAAATGTCATATGTCAATTATATCAATAAGACTGGAAAAAAAAATTTTTTTTTAGAAAGGGACTCACAGACCTAAAACAAAAATAGTGCCCAACTAGTGCTAGATGATGTGTGTTGCTCTTCTCATTTATTCACAGAATGCTCCTGAAATTTGAGATAATATAGAAAATCATAGTTTATGATTTTGGTATATATACATTATAGACAATATATAGACGATAAGTGGCTTATTTGGAAGAAGAAAATTGCAGCTGGCCTAGATTAAAATAAGTGACCAAAGGATTGCATTGTTAAAACAAATACACTAAATCCACGTGGGTTTTTGTCCCTGCTACCCATATGCTCAATGCTGATCTTAAACTGATTTTTATGTGAAACTGAGTCTTCTTTTGTTTTTTTGCTTTGAACAGGTTGGCTCAAAGCTAATCTCTTGTCACAAACTAGTATTGGCTTGTGTTATCCCCTACTTCAGAGCCATGTTTCTCTCTGAAATGGCTGAAGCCAAGCAAACACTGATTGAGATCAGAGATTTTGATGGTGATGCAATAGAAGACTTGGTAAAATTTGTCTATTCTTCACGGCTCACTTTGACTGTTGACAATGTCCAACCTCTCTTATATGCAGCCTGTATTCTACAGGTTGAACTGGTGGCTAGAGCTTGTTGTGAATACATGAAGTTACATTTTCATCCCTCCAACTGCCTGGCAGTGAGAGCCTTTGCTGAAAGTCACAACCGAATAGACTTAATGGACATGGCAGATCAGTACGCCTGTGAGCATTTTACTGAAGTAGTGGAGTGTGAAGACTTTGTAAGTGTGTCACCCCAACATCTCCATAAGCTTTTGTCCTCCAGTGATTTAAATATTGAGAATGAAAAGCAGGTCTATAGTGCAGCCATCAAGTGGCTTCTTGCCAATCCTCAGCATCATTCCAAATGGTTGGATGAAACACTTGCACAGGTAGGGGGCTGAAATAAGATTGTGTATAGAAATGAAGTGATATGGAAGCAAATTACAGTGTTTCATTGATCGTGAAACATGTAGATTATCCAAAGGAATATAGAAATCTTTGTGTAATACAATGTGAAAATGGCTTTCTCTTTACTTTCCTATTTATTCACTATGCTATTTAAGGATAAGTCTGAATTTGTTACTTTTAATTAGAAATATAATTCTTTGCTTTTTAACCTGAATGTTGAAAATAGCCCTTTGAAATTGTAGTCAATAAATATTTTATTTATGCTGATAGAAACTGGTTCTGAGGAAACAAGCTCTAATAAGTATTGTTTTATAGTGAAGTTTCTGAATTGTAGTGAATTACTTTCCTATCTGGAAAGAACCACAAAATGTAACTTTCCATTTTCTTTCCTCACCACAGTTTCACTTCTGTAACCTCAGAAACATGGCTTTTTTCTTACTTACTTACTTATTTATTTACTTATTTACTCACTTATGGTCAACAGGGTAACCTGGGTCGGGAGATAATAAATAGGCCTTAGAATTACTTTGAAAACAAGTTTGTCAACAGAAACAAAAAGTTTCATTATCTTGCAGCTATCTTATTTGTGTGTATGCATATGTACTTTTAACTCAAAATCTTATCACCTGGTTTGATCATCCCCTTAATCCACTAGAAAATCAATGCATCTTTAAGGGAAGAAAGGTGAGTGCCTCTACTTGAAGTAGGGATGCATCCCTGATTTAACATATAAACTTCCAAGGTGATTGATTTGGAGAAAACAACACTGATTTAATATTATGAATGTTTCTGTGTTCAAGTAATGAAGAAATCCCATTTCCATTTGTTCAGTCTTAGCTTTAAAAGGCAAAAGAACAAAACATGGCAATTTTGTTTTGATTGTGCCTTTTCTCTAGCAGCAGTGAGGCCTTTTGATTATGACACTACCATTTTTGGAAGTAAGAAACTTGAATGAATACAACTGAATTATTTTATCCAGTCTACTTAAATCTGTATTTAAAGGGGGGAGGATGCATTTAACATATAATCTGATTTCATTAGTGCAGACCATACTAGAAATCACTTTAGAACTTGGCTCATTGAACTTCCTTCACATGTTAGAAAGGCTTTGTGTAGTAAATGAGTTTTAAAAAGACAACATAAAATACTACAAAGTAGAGCATAAACTATCTGATTACAACTTAAATTTTACATCTGCAACTATTCATGATCTTAGGTTCGTTTGCCGCTGTTGCCAGTTGATTTTCTTATGGGTGTTGTGGCAAAAGAACAGATTGTCAAGCAAAATCTAAAATGTAGAGATTTATTGGATGAAGCAAGAAATTACCATCTTCACTTGAGTAGCAGAGCAGTACCTGACTTTGAATACTCCATTCGGACTACCCCAAGGAAGCAAACTGCTGGTAATTAAATTACTCATTTTATCATCTCTACTGGAAGGATTGTATTCCCAAACTTAATTGTAAGATGATTAGTATCTGATTGTCTTAAAGTAGCAATTGGCAAGTATGGTTATATAATGTGAATTCTTACTGGACATGATTCAGGTAGTTTTGCCAATAAGCCAGTTTTTTTTTAAAGATTTTATTTATTTATCTGACAGAGCACAAGTAGGCAGAGAGGTAGGCAGAGGGGGAGGGAGAAGCAGGCTCTCTGCTGAGCAGGGAGCCCGACGTGGGGCTCGATCCCGGGACCCTGGGATCTTGACCTGAGCCGAAGGCAGACACTTAACGACTGAGCCACCCAGGTGCTGTAATAAGCCAATTTTTTAAAAAGCCATAAGTCCTATGTACTTTGAAGAGCCTGCTGAAATCTTTTTTTTTTTTTGAAGTTTTCTTGATGCTTCTAGCAGAGTTCATTCCTCTGTCATTTGTACTTTTAGAATACTTTGTACTTGTTTTATTTTACTGTGTTGCATTGAAGTTTATTTATTTGACATGTTTTGAGCTCTTCAAAGACAGGTAAATATCTTATTCAGGTTTATATCTCTAGTGTCAAGGATGGAACTTGACACTATTTTGTGTTTAAATATTACTAGTTTTTGTGTTTTATCAAAAGAAAGGCACTAAATGGGGCCTCTAGCTGACTCAGTTGGAAGAGCAATGTCACTCTTGATCTTAGGATCATGAGCTTAGCCCCACGTTGGGTGTACAGATTACAAAAAAAAAATTAAAAAACAAACAAACTTGAAAGTCACTAAATACATTTAAAATTTGTGTAATAGATTGTTAGACTCTTAGAATCTAAAGGTCTAATATTTAAGGAGGCATGCAATTTTACCTTTATTTGCCACAATTTTCAGACTATATTTTCCTAATTGGTTCATGTTCACTTATGTTCCTTTTTACAAGTATAAAAAATATATTTGAGGGATGATGGAAGATAAATGAAAGTCCAGGAATTCAGGAAGCGGTACTCTGAACAGAGAGTTTATCTGCATTTCTTGCTACCCAGTATAGTTATCAAATAAAGAGATCTGTGGAACAGCCTAAAAATAACAACAAAGGGCAGTACTTGATTATGAATAGTGGGTATGAATAGTGGGATTTTATCTAGGTAAAGAAAATATGACTGTCATATATGTACCTATGAAGAAGTCGTTCTTCTAAATACAGTTGACCCTGGAACAACATGGGTTTGAACTACATGCATGGGTCCACTTGTATGTACATTTTTTACAGCACTATAAATATCTTTTCTCTTTTCTTCTTATTTTTTTAATCTTAAGCAGACTGTACGCCCAGCATGGAGCCTAGTGAGGGGCTTGAACTCACAACCCTAAGATCAAGACCTGAGCTGAGGTCAAGGGTCAGATGTTTAGCTGACTGAGGCAACCAGGTGCCCCTCTTATGATTTTTTTAAATAACATTTTCTTTTCTCTAGCTACTCTCTTGTAAGAATATGGTATATAATACATACACAAAATATGTGTTAACCGACTGTTCATGTTACCACTAAGACTTCCAGTCAGCAGTAGATTATTAGGAGTTAAGTTTTGGGGGAGTCAAAAGTTATATGCAGATTTTCAACTACACAGGAAGTTGGCATCCATAAGTCCTGGGTTGTTCAAGTGTCAACTATAGTTTAACATGGAAAGGACTGCTTATTCTCCTCTTTTTATAGGTTGCTGTCAAGAATTAAATTTTTTGAAGTGTAGGGCTTTTTTAAGTTGTGAAACCTGTTTCAGGAAATCAAGGTATTTAATTAAATTCCTCTTTAAGTTTTAAATTTAAACAACATCTTGGTAGCCTGAATTATATGCATATAGTAGGCATATCGTAGACCCTTGTATACATGATCTCTCACATGATTGCAGGAACTTAATGAGTAGGTTTTAGTGTAGGATTCAATACTTACTGTGAGATAGATGGTGTTACTCCATTTTATGGATGAAGAGACTAAGAAGACTCAGAGAGGGTTAAAAATATGCCCAAGGCCACACAGAGAAATAGCATAGAAAGGATGTATATCCTGATCTTTTTGTTTCATTTTTAGCTTTTTTTTCCTTCATTCTGTGTTCCTAGGTGAACTGTATAACTGAAATACTAGTTTCTACTGAAAATCTATTCAATCATTGAGATTACATTCTGGGATTATAATTCCAGCTGTGCCATTAAATATTACAATTTGGGGCAGATTTTGTAATCTCTGAAGGCCTGTTTATTTATAAACGATTTTGATTTAAATGATCTTTAAAGCCTCTTCCAACTTTAAATTTCTTTGACTTAAAGTATTGATTTGGAAAGTCAAGGATTGAGTTGGAAAAGATGACACAAGCAATTCTGTACATTTTTTAATACAGTCATTCAGCAGATATTTATTTAGTACCTACCACATGCCAGGTTCTGGGGTAGGCATTAGAAATGCAGATACACATAGAATATAGCCAGTCCTATTTTGAGAGAACTTGCAGTCCAATATAGGGAGATAGGCATGTGAACAAATAAATGCAATGAAGTGGTAAAGGGAAGTTGATATAAGTATAGTGGGGAACACAAAAGAGTGGTTATTTTTACCTTGGAAGGATCAGAAAAGGTTTTATAGAGAAAGTAAACCTCAGTCTTAGTTTTGAATAATAAACAGATGTTTTTCTAGGTGCCAGTTAAGGAAAGAGGTATTCAGTTCATTTTTTTAAAATAATTTTTTATTGTTATGTTAATCACCATACATTACATCATTAGTTTTTGATGTAGTGTTCCATGATTCATTGTTTGTGCATAACACCCAGTGCTCCACGCAGAATGTGCCCTCTTTAATACCCATCACCAGGCTAACCCATCCCCCCACCCCAGTTCATTTTTCATCTGTTGAATGCCTAGTACATGCCAGGCACTGTGCTAGCCCTGATTAGTACAAAATGCTTAACATACAGTCCTAACTTATCTTAGACTCTGGAGACAGATATCAGCATAATGGATCATTTCTGTACTGTGTTAAGTGAATGATGGTTACCAAAAATTGGCTTTGGAACATCGAGGATGAGCCCTGTATGCATGTTGCGCGAACATGAAGTTTGAGAGAAAGGGAGGGAGAAGATCAGATTAGACAGTGCAAGGCCTTTATGCTGTGCTGGGTTTTATCCTGTAGGGCAGTGGTTCTCAAAGTATAAAAGAAGTGGTGGCCCCTGGCCCAGAAGCATAAGCATTCACTTGGGAACTTGTTAGAAATATAAATTCTTGGATCTACCCCACGCTGATTGATTCAGAAACTCTGGAGGTCAGGACCATCAGTCTGTGGTTTATGCCTTCCAGGTGATTGTTGAACCACACTGGAGTTTTTTTTGGTTTTTTTAGATTGCAGTGAAATATGTATAATATAAAAAATGTCATTTTAACCATTTTTAACTCTACAATTTAGTGGCATTGGCTAAAGTTTTTAAAAACTACTGATTTAGGTAATAGAAAGCTGTTGAAAGAGCCTTTTAATTAGTTTACTCTGTTGAAGGTCTGAAAGCAAAAAGATTACTAAGTGATAAGAAAGGACAGGATTTTGCTGTAGTTGGGTAATAGCAGATGAGGGCCTGAACTAAAGCAGTGGAATTGTGAGGGAGAGGAAGGGCAGGGCCCCTCGGGGAAGGAAGAGGTTTCAGGTAGGTGAGGAAGGGTGATCCTTTTGAATAAATTGGATTTGAGGTGCCTGTGGGACATCAAGTGGAAATGTGGCTTAGATACATAGCTTGGAAGGCATTATGATACAGATGGAATTTAAAATCAAGGAATGTACTTTTCCTGTGTGAACGTATGAAGTATGTGAGAAGTATGCAAAGGATGAAACATGGGAAACATAGGAAAGAGAAATTATTGGAGACAAAAGACTTAAGTATTATGGAAATCAAGAGAGTTAAGGAGTTTCCCAAAACTCAGGGTGATCAACATATTGAGTGTTGCATTTGTAAGAAATTAACTTAAGGGGCACCTGGGTGGCTCAGTCCATTAAGCATCTGCCTTTGGCTCAGGTCATGATCCTGGGGTCCTGGGATAGAGGCCGGATCAGGTTCCCTGCTCAGTGGGGAGCCTACCTCTCCCTCTCCATCTACCTCTCCCCCAGCTCATGCTCTCTTGTGCTCTCACGCTCTCTCTCTCAAATATAGATAAATAAAATCTCAAAAAAAAATTAAGAGTTTATTGGATGTGGTTATGACCTTAGCAAGAACAATTTTATAGAGTGGGTGAAAATCTAAACCATACTATAATGGGATGTTAGCAAACAGAGATAGCTGATGTATCCTATTCTTTGAGGAATTCAAATAAGGGGGAAAAATTAGATTTTTAGTAACATAATGACATTGAAGTTATCCAAATAACTCATTTTTTTAGCAGTTCATCAAAATTTTGACTAAGTATTTTTTCCACACTAATTAAAAAAATTTAGGGAGCTATAATTTTGATCTGTATTTTCTGGCTTTACCTTTAGGCGTGCTGTTTTGTGTAGGTGGTAGAGGTGGATCTGGTGACCCCTTTCGCAGTATTGAATGCTATTCTATAAACAAAAACAGTTGGTTTTTTGGGCCAGAAATGAATAGTCGAAGGCGGCACGTGGGTGTAATCTCTGTGGAAGGTGGGTCCATTATTGTCTTAAGTCATAGCACATGATGATAACATTCTTTTAAAATATTTAAATGAGAATTTCTTTCTGTAAGAAAATTGCTAAATTATAAAATGTTTCACTATATCAATAAAATATTTGGTGATTTTTTATTTACTTGCCTTATGCTCATAGATGCTCAATGAATAATCTCTTGCATGTAGGTGCTTGTTGGGAGAGGAGTATTAGGGGAAAGGGAGTTAAAATAAAGAGTTAAACTCTTCTGAGTTATATTTGTAAAATAAACTACAAAAAGTGTTTATTGAACTTAATAAATATATATCAGCTTTTTTCTATACCTAATTATTGAAATGAGAGGTTTTTTTTACTGGTTACTGAAAATGAAATAATTACACAACCATGGGTAAATTGTTAGGGGACTTTAAAAAAATTACTTTTTTTTTCTGATTATAGAAGTGTAAATTCTTTTTGGGAAAATATGAAAACATTCTAATAAAAATAGTCACAGTTGACATTCTTGTATGTAGCCTTTAAAATTATTTATTGTATATGTATTTTTAATAACTTCATTTAGAAAGTTTGATCATACTGGATTGAATTTTATTTTTCTTCATATAACATTGAGCATTTTTTAATTTTATTAAACATTCTTTGAAAGCATTATTAGTGATTTCATCTACTTAGTAATAAAAAGTTGGGAAACCAAAGTAGGGATAGTGTTTGAGCATTTAAATAACTTCATATCTAACAGCATGTTCCTGGCATTTTATTAAGTAGAAGCTTATGATTATTTTCATTTGACTATTTAAGTGACATTATTCATGATGTTGAACAGAAGAATATTTGTTGAAAATTATCATGCTATTCTAATTATATTTTGATCTTATGTATATGTTATATACATAAATAACTATCAATTTACTTAAGTTGGAATCATGAAAATGCTTCTCTGTTTGACAGGTAAAGTGTATGCAGTAGGTGGACATGATGGAAATGAACATTTAGGTAGCATGGAGATGTTTGATCCTCTCACTAATAAATGGATGATGAAGGCATCAATGAACACAAAGAGGTGAATCAGCATGGAAATTTTTTTGATTTGTTGATGGAAAATAAAGCTTCCAATAATTGAAGGGACCAATTTTCTACTTTTTACATTTCTAGAAACTTTAAATACTGTCTTAAACACATTTTGTTAAATTTAGCATCCAATGTGATGCTTTGTTATAACTTTTTATGTTTTCTTTCTTGAGAATATATTTTATATTTTTTTATGTTTTAGAATATGGTAACGATTAACATAGTTTCCACTTAAACCTGAACATTGATTTTTTTTTTTTTACTTTGAAATAATTTTAGATTTAAGGAAAGTTGCAAAAATAGTAGAGTTCCTATTTACCAGTGATTCTTAGCAAAAGATGATTTTACTTCCTCTGTGGAATACTTGGCAATATCTGGAGACGTTTTTGGTTGTCACAGTTTGGGGGTGGGGATGTTGGGGGAGGGCTGCTGGCACCTAGTTGGGAGAGGCCATGGATGCTGCTAAAAATCCTATAATGCACAAGAAAGCCCCCCCACAGCAAAGAATTTTCCCCGCCCCAAATATCAGTAGTGGTGAGATAGAGAAATCCTGCTGCATACTCTTTATCCAGCTCCCATAATGTTGACATCTTACACCATCATAGTACAATTATTGAAACCAGGAAACTAACATTAATACAATGATATTAATTAATATAGATCTTATTCAACTTTTGCCAGTTTTTCTACATATTCCTATGCTTTGAATTTTTTTTTGTCTCTTTATATTGCCTATTAATCTAATACAGTGTGAATAGTAGCAGAGATGGTAGTTATTTTTGTCTTATTTCTGATCTTAGTGGAAATGTCTCTAATGTTTCCCTATTAAGTGAGATACTGCCTTTAGGACTAAGGCATAGGTATTTTAACATATTAAAAAAATATCCCTGAGGGCGCCTGGGTGGCTCAGTCGGTTAAGGATCTGCCTTCAGCTCAGGTCATGATGAGCTAGCTGTGCTCATCACAAGTGTCCTTAATAGCCATCACCCAAGATAAGTGTACTCTTAATCCCCTTCATCGGTTTCACCCATTCCCCACCCATCTCCCCTGTTCTCTATATTTAAGTCTGTTTTTTTGGTTTGTCTCTTCTTCCCTCCCCTTTATTTCTTAAATTCCACATATGAGTGAAATCATATGGTATTTGTCTTTATCTGACTTACTTTGCTTAACATTATACTCTGTAGCTCCATCCATGTGTTGCAAATGGCAAGATTTCATTCTTTTTTTGTGGCTGAGTAACATTCCATTGTGTGTGTGCGTGTGTGTATACACATACATATATACACCACGTTTTCTTTATCCATTTCTCTGTCAGTGGATACTTGGGATGCTTCCATAGTTTGGCTATTGTAAATAATGCTGCAGTGAACGTAGGGGTGCCTTTACCCCTTTGAATTAGTGTTTTCATATTCTTTGGGTAAATACCCAGTAGTGTATCTTAGGGTAGTTCTATTTTTAATTTTTTGAGGAACTTCCATGCTGTGTTCACAGTGGCTACACGAGTTTGCATTCCCACTAACAATGCACAAGGGTTCCTTTTTCTCCACATCCTTGCCAACAGTGTTGTTTCTTGTGTTTTTGATTTTAGCCATTCTGAGAGATGTTAGGTAATATCTCATTGTGGTTTTGATTTGCATTTTGATTTCCCTGATGATAAGTGATGTTGAGCATCTTTTCATTTGTTAGCCATCTGGATGTCTTCTTTGGGAAAATGTCTATTCATGTCTTGCTCCCATTTCTTAACTGGATTATTTGGGTTTTGGGTGTTGAGTTTGATAAGTTCTTTATAGACTTTGGATACCAACCCTTTTTTGGGAAGTCATTTGCAAACATCTCCCATTCAGTAGGTTGCCTTTTAGTTTTGTTTATTGTTTCCTTTGCTGTGCCGAAGCTTTTTATTTTGGTGTTGTCCCAATAGTTTATTTTTGCTTTTGTTTCCCTTGCCTTAAGAGACATATCTACAAAGATGTTGCTATAATCAATGTCAGGAAATACTGCCTTTGCTCTCCTTTAGGATTTTTATGGTTTCTGGTCTCACATATAGGTCCTTAATCCACTTTGAGTTTGTTTTTGTGTATGAATGAAAGTGGTCTAGTTTCATTTTGCATGTTGCTGTCCAGTTTTCCCAACACCATTTGTTGAGGAGACTCTTTTTTCCATTGCATATTCTTTGCTCCTTTTACGACGATTAATTGACCATATAATTGTGGGTTTATTTCTAGGCTTTCTGTTCCATTGACCTATATTTCTCTTTTTGTGCCAGTACCATACTGTTTTGATTACTACATCTTTGTAATATAACTTGCAGTCTGGAACTATGACACCTCCAGTTTTCTTTTTCAAGATTGCTTTGGCTATTCAGGGTCTTTTGTGATTCCATACAAATTTTAGGGTTGTTTGTTCTAATTCTGTGAAAAATGCTGTTGATATTTTGATAGAGATTACATTAAATCTATAGATTGCTTTGAGTAGGATAGACATTTTAACAATTTGTTCTTATCCATGAGCATGGAGTATCTTTCCATTTGTGTTGTCTTGAATTTATTTCATCATTGCTTTATAGTTTTCAGAGTATAGGTTTTTCACCTCTGGTTAGGTTTATTCCTAGGTATTTTATTCTTTTTTGTGCAGTTGTAAACAAGATAGTTTTCTTAATTTTTTTTTCTGCTGCTTCATTATTAGTGTATAGACATGCAACAGGGGCTCCTGGGTGGCTCAGTCAGTTAAGTGATTCTTGATTTCGGCTCAGGTCATGATCACATGGGTCTACTTCTGTAGATCTTACATTCTAGAAGGAAAGATACAAATAAAGACATAATTACAAGGGCAATAATTCTTTTTTTAAAAAAAGATTTTATTTATTTGAGAGAGCGAACAAGCATGATCAGGGGGAGGGGCAGAGGGAGAGGGAGAAGCAGACTCCCTGCTGACCAGGGAGCCTGATGTGGGGCTCCATCCCAGGGCCCTGAGATCATGACCTGAGCTGAAGGCAGATGCTTACCCGACTGAGCCACCCAGGCGCCCCAAGGGCAATAATTCTAAGCATAGGGTAAGTAAAGGGTGCTTGAGAATGGAAAAAATCTTAAAGAAGTTCTGTTTAAACTAAGATCTGAAGGAATAGAAGAATTTATTCTGGTTAAGTGTTGGTGGATAGAAGGGTGATGGGTGGAAAGAAATGAAGTCTGAAAATCTAGAAGTCAACAACAGGAGAGAGCATAAAGGAAGTCTAGTATGGCTGAAAGATCAAGGTGAATGGTGTGAAAAAATAAGGCTGAAACAATAGGAAAGGATGAGGGCCTTTCAGGTTTGCCAACAGTCTTTTTATTTTATCTGGTGAGCTTTCTCTCTCTGTCACACACACACACACGTATATATATATATATATACGTATATATACGTATATATATACGAATATATATACGTGTGTGTTTTTAATAGCAGGGGAATGAAATGGAGAAAGGATTTGAGGCGGACCAGAGTAAAAACAGTTTGGGAGACCAACAGGGTTATTGTAATATTTTAGTCAAGAAATAATGGTGGCTTGGACTAAAGTGGAAAAAGTTGGGAGAGAGAGGACATATTTGAGATATAATTCAGAAGTATACAATCAACAAGATTTTATGATAATCAGATGTGTAAGGTGGAAAGAACAAGAAGCAAGGATGATCCTTCAGTTTTTGGCTTAAGCAGTTGGGTGTGGATAGTGGTGTAATTTTCTGCATTAGGAAAAAAAAGACAACAGGATAAAATTTTGTTTCCCTTGTGATGGGTGTATTTGTTTTCTATTGCTGTGAAACCATTTATCACACACTTAGCAGCTTGTATCTGTTTATTAAAGCTCACAGTTCTATAGATCAGAAGTCTAGAGGGTTTTACTGGGTTTTCCGCTTAGGGTCTTTCAAGGCCAAAATAAAGGTGTAGGCTGGACTAAGCTCTTACCTGGAGGCTCTGGGAAACAGTCTACTTCCATGGTCATTTAGGTTATTGATAGAACTCCGTTCCTTGAGACTGTAGGACTGAGTTTCTCAATTTTACTGGCTGTTGCCAGGTGTCAGTCTCAATTCCTAGAAGCCACTCCCAGGTCCTTTCCAGGTGCTCCTGTCTGTCTTCAAACAAGCAGTGGCATGCAGAATCCATCTCATTCTTTGAGTTTTTGAGTTGTCTTCTGCTACCAGCTGGAGAAACCTCTCTAATAGGGCTTGTGTGATTAGATTGGGACCATTCAAGTAATCTCCTTTATGCCATATAATGTAGTATAAGCATGGGAATAAAACTAGAGGATGAATATACTGGGTGTGTGTGGGGGGGTACATCTTAAAATTTGCCTATCACAGGGAAGTAAGCAGTGAGTTTGATCTCAGATTAAAGTTAAGGTAGAAGAGGGGTGCCTGGGTGGCTCAGTTGGTTAAGCGTCTGACTCTTGATTTCAGCTCAGGTCATGATCTCAGGGTCATGAGATTGAGCCCTGTGTCAGGGAGCCTGCTGAAGATTCTCCCTCTCCCTCTTCCTCTAGTCTCCTCCCTCCTCCCTCACTTGCAAAAAAAATTAAGGTTGAATAGCTAACATGACAGATTTAATGTAGAAGTTGGATATGTGTCTGGAAATATACATTTGAGTTATCATAAATCCATGGAAAGAATGAGGTTGCCTTGGGAGAGAGCGTTTAAGTGATAATAGGCCTTTAGGGAACTTGATAATTTGATGATGGGGTAGAGAGGAAGGCACTGATAAAGGAAACAGAATAGCATCAGCCAGAGATTTAGGAGGGAATTCAAATATGTGATTTCATGAAAATCAAGAGAGTTTTGAGGAGGAGGAAATAACATTATTAGTTATTTTGGTTTGGGATGGTGAGGGGCTGAGATATTTACTAGGTACACATCTGTCATTATTATAATACCTGTATGTTCTAGAGTGCACACACGTTTACACACCTGCAAATTTTTATAGCCACAGTATTTTGTAAGTCATTGCTCTATTCTCAAGAGAAAAGAGATTAAGGGGATTGAAAATGAGTAACAACGTTACCCTTAAGAATCCTTCTTAGGATTCTCTTTGGTAAACTTAGAATCTCGGTTGACCAGCTGCACTCTCCAGTAATATAGCTAATAACATAGCACTAACGATGGGCCAGTCACTGTTTTAAGTGCTTCACCTGTATTATCTCTGTATCTCCTGTGTCTGCTCCTTTCTCAAATGGGTTACAGATGAAGAAGCAAGGTAGAAGTTTATCAAGTACACTGTCCAAAGTACATATCAAGTCAATGGTAGTTTATAGTTTTAGAATAGTTCAATTTTTTATTGCTGCAGTGTTTAAGAAATTGGTATAATTTTTTTCTGATCATCATTACAGTGAATTAGCTTTTAACAAGGGCTAAGTCTCCCTCTTTGCAAGAAGAAAAATAAATGCCCTTCAGAAGTTAAGCAATGTGATATAAAGCTTGTAATATAAAAATTGATGTTCTTTTGTGTAGTACCATGAAAACCTGCATCAAAACATGTGCTCTGCAATGACTTGAATTTAGAAATGAGATTGACTTCTGACGTCCACAGCAAAACATTTCTGTCAGTTTGTTAATCTCTCATTATGGAGTGTTTTACTGTTGAATGTTTTGGACTCCATTTATATTATTTTGTTGGGTTTCACTTTATTTCATTTGAGTTTAAAGTAACCTGTGTAGGCTGTGCATTATAAAACTCCAGAGGGCACTGTTCACATATAGTCACACAATTTGGCAGCCTTGTAGCCATCTATTCAAAAGCCTTGATAAATCTAAAAATAATGGGGACAAAAACCTCACTGAGGTTTAACAAAGTAAATGACTTTCTTTAGCATATTTTTACTACCTTTTTTCTGGAAACAAAACCGGATACTAAAGTATGTTTTATTGTCTTTGCAGGCGAGGAATTGCCTTGGCCTCCTTGGGAGGTCCAATTTATGCAATTGGAGGGTTAGATGACAACACTTGCTTCAATGATGTGGAAAGATATGACATAGAATCTGATCAGTGGAGTACAGTGGCACCAATGAATAGTCCCCGTGGAGGAGTTGGCTCTGTGGCTCTTGTAGTAAGTTATGTGGCATTTGGCTCATGGATTGCATTGTATCATAGCCCTAATACCCTAATAAGTAAAGAAAGGTCTGCTATATTCATATCTCCAGGATGCAGATAATGATTGTATACCATATTATCTCATGAAACACTGCTTTCTTACACATTCTGGTCTACCGATAGGACCACATATAAATCACTTAAAAGTCTAATGTCATGTGTTTTTATTCTTTGTTTATTTAGAATCATGTTTATGCAGTAGGTGGCAATGATGGAGTAGCTTCTTTATCTAGTGTGGAGAGGTATGATCCACATCTGGACAAGTGGATAGAAGTTAAAGAAATGGGTCAACGAAGAGCAGGCAATGGAGTTAGTGAGCTCCATGGTTGCTTATACGTTGTTGGTGAGTGGATGGTATTTCTCTAGTTTAATTTATTGCAGGATGTACAGTGCTAGTATCATAAGACAACACAGTAACACAAATTATATTGCATTTAGGCTCAAATGGAATAGTCCTAAGATTTGCTTTCAAATTACTAAGGTTCACATTTGTGCTTTTTTGCTTATGCCTTCATGTTTTATGTTTTAGGAGTAGCAAATACATCTAAGGTAGAGGATTATATTTAAATCAGATATATATTTTTTAATGTAAGAATGCAAATGTGCTTTGCTAAAATCTTTAAAGATTTAAGAAATTTTTTTCTCATCTTCATTTCAAGGGAATTATACGTTGATTCTTTTAAGCAAAGCAGTGGCTATTTCATATGCATAATGGCTGTTGGTATCTCTAGCCTGCTTTTTACTTACTGAATTGCAGAATTGGAAGGAACCATAGGGCATTGCTTTCTCAAACTTTAATATGCATGTGAATATTCTGAAGATACTGTTAAGCTGCAGGAGTGGAGCCCAGATTCTGCATTTCTTTTTTTTTTTTTTTTTTTTTTAGGTTTTTATTTATTTATTTGACAGAGAGAGACACAGCGAGAGAGGGAACACAAGCAGGGGGAGTGGGAGAGGGAGAAGCAGGCTCCCTGCGGAGCAAGGAGCCCAATGTGGGGCTTGATCTCACCCCGGGATCATGACCTGAGCCGAAGGCAGACGCTTAATGACTGAAACACCCAGGCGCCCCTAGATTCTGTATTTCTAACAGCTCCCAAATGATAATCAATGCTGCTTCTGGTCCATTCAGCACACTTCCAGTAGCAAGGTTTTAAAGAACTATGAGATGGGAATAATAATGAGAATTATCTTTGAGAGAATTATTCTAAGAATTAGAGATAGTATATATGAAGCATCTCAAACTGCATCTGGTGCTTTGTAGTTACCCAGTACATGGATGGCAATATTGTGGTTAGTAATTCCCTCCTTTACAGAGAAAGAAATTGTTCAGAGAGGTTGTAACTAGCATATGTCGCACTTATGTTGATGTAAACTCTTTGGTATTACATAACTTATAGTTCTTGATAAGAGAGTGTGGGATATTATTAGCATTGAAATATCTGCAAGTAATAGAAGTAATGCTGAATATTCCAGTTCTTGGAAATATAGGTAACATAATTTACTTTAGATCTTGTCTGATGCTCACAGCTCTGTGAGGTAGCAAAGACTCAGAGAGTGTGAATAATTTACCTCATAGTCACACACCTTCTAAACTAGTGACAAAGCTGGAATTTGAACTTGGGTCTATGAGAAACCAGAGTTCTTGCAGTACACAGTTGCTACCTCTTACAGCTCCCTACTTAGCTTTATTGTCATGAAAATATGTTCTGTATCATGGTTGCGGTGGTGAAGAAACTGCCATACACATTTGTCAATATTTATCAAGTTACACATAAAATTGGTGAATTTTATTTCAATTACATTGATTTAATTAAACCTATTAGAGAAGTTAACTTTTTTTTTTTAAAACTGACCTTGTTTCTGAATAGACTGATCATAATAGCAACACTTCCTGTCCTCAGGAAAATAGGCTTAGTTGCTGAAGAGAGTTATTACTCATGTAGACTGAGATGGAGTCTAAAAAGAGGCACATTTATTTTTAAGGGAAAGAACACTGTCAAAATAACAGTCTCTATATTTAACCCTCAGGAATATAATAAGTAGCATTGTTAGAATGATGTATAGAGAGAACTGTCATCACCTAGAATATGTAGCATGAAGATGTAGTTTTGGCAAAAATTGGTGAGATCAGTCATAGCCGTCTCTGTAATTATGATGACAATTACAGTATTAGGGGAAACAGTTGGAAAACTTTTTTTTTTAATGTTTTATTTATTTATTCATGAGAGTCAGAGAGAGAGAGAGAGAGAGAGGCAGAGGCAGAGGGAGAAGCAGACTCCCCGCAGAGCAGGGAGCCCGATGCGGGACTCGATCCCAGGACTCTGGGATCATGACCTGAGCCGAAGGCAGACGCTTAACCATCTGAGCCACCCAGGCGCCCAGTTGGAAAACTTTTGAGTCAAATGATTCAGTGGTAGTTGATTCTCTTCTCAGGCACTCTTACTTTTAAAAATATAATACACAACATACACACAGAAAAGGAATCTCAGTACTGTCTTACTTGCCTCTAGGAGGTGAAGGACAAATTATGAATGTTATGAGGGGTTTTTTTTCCTCCTAAATTATCTGCTTAGATACAGGGACTTCAGTTTTTCTATTTTAAGATTTTTAATCTTAGTATTGAGGTAAAATACTAAGTTATCTCAAATTATAGAAAAATGTCTAATAGGAGTCGGTAGTGATGACAGGTATTGGGGTGAATTTTTTCCCGATTTTCTCTATTTTCTAAAATGTTTTTAAAAGATTGGGTTGTAGAAGCTATTGGGTTGAGATTTAATAGTTAATTTCTATGAAATGTAGTACTATTTTTAAAATCTTTTTTTTTATATATATATATAGGTGGTTTTGATGATAATTCTCCTCTGAGTTCAGTTGAGCGGTATGATCCTCGAAACAACAAATGGGATTATGTAGCAGCACTTACCACTCCCAGGGGTGGAGTGGGGATTGCAACAGTGATGGGCAAAATCTTTGCAGTTGGTGGGCATAATGGCAATGCATACTTAAATACAGTGGAAGCATTTGATCCAGTGTTGAATAGGTAATTTTCATTTTTTCTGTATGCTTTAATGGGATCTTCCAGTAATCGCTTATTCCAGAGTGCTAAAATACTACTAGACATACCTATTAAGATAAAACATTAGGGATATCTTATCTCCCTGAGGAACCTTGCTGTCTTTCAGAACCAGTCCCAATAATAGGGAGTTTTTGTCTGTGGTTGGTATTTTGAGTAAAGTAAATCATGCTTTGTTTTAAGATAACATACTTTCTCTGTCTTTTTCAGGTGGGAGCTGGTTGGATCTGTGTCTCACTGCAGAGCTGGAGCAGGCGTAGCTGTGTGTGCCTGTTTAACTAGCCAAATTCGAGATGTAGGTCATGGATCCAATAATGTGGTTGATTGTATGTGATATGAGCTCCAGCCACCAACAGTTTGGTCATATTTGATAGACAAGAAGGACAACCAGGATCTTGTTTGACCACCTTTGAATAGTTTTCACTATTGCTAGAGTCTTATTTTAAATGGAAACTGTTGTATTGTGACTAAGTGCAACATTTAGAATGGTAGCTGAAGATCTGTTGTAATAAAAGTAAATTTGATACTTCCCGCTTTAGCAAATAATGGGATAGGGAAGAAAAACAATCTAACCTGAAACCATGCCTCCTCTGAAAAATGTTTAAAGTAGTACCAAAACCTGGAAATCCCTCTTTAAAGACATTTTGGATAAATCAAAATGTAGAATGGAATCATTTCCATTTTACCTGAGTTTTACCTTCTCTTTTGCCTAAAAGTGTTAACTGTAGGCAGTGGACTTTTCCTAGAGGGGAGATTAGAACCTATTCATCAACACAAGTATGTCCGGACACATAAAAGACTGCTCCTTTTGAAGATCATTTCTACTTGGTGCTGATGAATTTATGCCTTGCTTTTTTCTAGATGTCAATTTTTCAATTTCTTGGATATTTATAGAAGTAGAAAAAATGTTTACTCTTTCTCAGTGCCACTTGGCTGGATTTTCAGAAGCTTTATGGGAGTGCTGTAAGAAGCTCTTAATTTCAGTTTGACTTGTGTAGGGCACCAAATATCTATCTGAACTAATCCCATCTGAATAAATCTACACTTTTATTTTGTCATCTCATGCAAAAAGGATTTGTTTCATATTAGCAAAAATTGAACCAGAAGAAATATTAGAGGAGAAGGCTTTAGAGTTGATATTACTCTATTGTCCATTTGAGAGACCTTGAGAAGAAATGGTGCCGATTACATGACTCCCTGAGAGGAATCTGAAAATATTTCTTTGATTTAATCATTTGGTTTTGAGCCCAGGATTATTACCTTTCCATTTTGCTCTTTTCCACCATCCTGGTTTTTTAAAAAAACTGGAATTTGGATGTATTTATTATCAGAAAATGAATGCATTTTTACAAAAATTCTTTATAGATTATGGTTTACTGATTAGTTCAAGTCCATTATTACCAATAAAAGACATTGTTAAAAACAGAGCAAGATTGCATCAAAAACTAATGATGTAATGTATGGTGGTTAACATAACAATAAAAAAATTATTAAAAAAAAACAGCAAGATTGAAATTTCCTGTTTTTTCTGTTTAATCATCTTCAGTATATTTATTTATTGAACTTCAACTGAAAATATTTCTATGCATTAATTTGAAGCCAGGATATTGATAAACCTACTGACTTAATAGCTCTTCCATGGTTTTAGCCAGTATTATAAAATGGCCTAATCATAATATGTAAATATTCGTATAAATACTTATGGTGAATATTAAAATATTCTGTTTTGTATTTGCAATGCACTTTCGTACCTCTCTTTCCCCTGAATTTTCCTGTCATCATGCCTCATAATTTAGTGTAGTTCATTGCTGGTTCACAAGGAAGCTGGGTCACTGAGGAACACTACCCCCATCCACCCAGCTCTAAAGTTCATTGCCTACTAACTCTGATGGTCCTCATTAAAATGTAGCCTGGCTTGTCAGTATAGTAGGACGGTTAGAAAGCCACATTACAAAAGCCAGTGTATTTTAGACCAAAAAAAGAAAAAAAAATGGTAAGAGGATCTCAGGCTAGCAGCTAAAGGTCTTTCATGAGGCAAATTTAAAAATTCCCAAATTATGCCACTTTTTGCTATCAGCCTGTAGGCAAGTTCATAAGTCTTTGCTGGATCTGAATCAGGGTTCTCTTGTATGACTATAACCATATTTCAATCATTCCTCAAAGCATTTAACTCTCTAGCATTCACTGGACTGGTTATAACTAGCTGGATGTGGAGCATAAATCTCAACACCTGGCTTCAACTGTCTGGAATTCTTGTATTATAATGCTTGTCTGGCTATGGTTACTAGTATGTTATATTTATTTTGTGGGAGAGAGGATCATGGTCTTATTGTTTCTAAGATTATTTAAAATGGTTCTTTTCTTTAACATATTTCTGCCTTTGTCACGTGTATAGAGTTTAGGAACATAAAGGTGTTAAATTTTTTTTTTAAGGTGTTAAATGTCTATTTCTGGTTTTTACTATACCGTAGTCATCTAACATACTAACATACCTTAGCTACCCATAAAATAGGAACTACTCATAAGGGAAGTAAAGTGAAGTGAAGAAAACATGTGGCTGTCTGTTATGTGTAGATCGTTAGAAGCATAGTTTTGAAGGACCTGAAAATGGTTATGAAAGATAAATAGTGGAACCAGTATTCACAGTTTATTAAAAACATTCTTTGAGATATAAAATGAGAATCAGGCTGAAGGAATCATGCAATTGAAAGATGATTAAATTCATAGGAATAAAGAGATGACATTATTAAAAGAATATGGCTACTTAATTGTGAGGCCTTTCATTTTAACCTCAGATGTTAATAAGAAAACCAAAAAGTGATATAAAATAGAGATAAAATTTTGAAATGGTGAAAATTTGCATATTTATTTCTTCAAGAAGTATTATAGGTGCTTTTGTGTGATTGTCCTATAAAGTTATTAAAGCCACTGTTTTCCTATATTGTATTGCCACTTTAAAAACAAATTACTTGATAATTGGTTTTGGTTAATTTCATTGTACTCTGTGTAACTGATTATTTTAAATTATTTTAAGTGTTTGAATAAACTTTGTACTCCCTCTGAGGAATATTATTTATTCTCTTAATTCCTACACACATTTTGAATTTATAATGCTGTTAAATGCCTAGATAAGAGATTGTTGAAATTATATAAACTCCTATTGCCAAGAGTAAACTTAAGAATTTTGTTTCTTTTTTCTCTCCATGTCTTACATGTAGAGAATGCATTTAGAATCTAATTCATATCTTATCAGTCAAGAACGTTTTCTGTTTTTTTTAAAACAAAACTTTTTTTTTTTTTTTTAAGATTTATTTCGTTGACAGAGACACAGCGAGAGAGGGAACACAAGCAGGGGGAGTGGGAGAGGGAGAAGCAGGCTTCTTGCCGAGCAGGAAGCCCAATGTGGGGCTCGATCCCAGGACCCTTAGATCATGACATGAGCCGAAGGCAGACATGTAACGACTGAGCCACCCAGGTGTGCCAAACATCTGACTCTTGATCTCAGCTCAAGTCTTGATCTCAGGGTCATGAGTTCAAGGCCTGCATTGGGCTCCATGCTGGGCATGGAGCCTACTTAAAATAATAATAATAATTAAAAAATAAAGGATGTGGGCAACTAATGTAAGTAGTTTCACTAATCTTAGTAACTGATTAAAGCAATGGTCTCTTCAGCAACTGCAGACTTGTATAGAAATGAGATTTTTTTTTTTTAAAGATTTTATTTATTCGACAGAGAGGGAGCACAAGTAGGCAGAGTGGCAGGGAGAGGGAGAAGCAGACTCTCCACTGAGGAGGGAGCCGGATGTGGGGCTCGATCCCAGGACCCCAGGATCATGACCTGAGCTGTAGGCAGCCGCTTAACCGACTGAGCCACCCAGGTGCCCTGAAATGAGATTCTTTATGCATTAGGATGAATGTTGTCCTTCCAAGTTTGTTTTTTCTTTCCCAATTATGTTGCCATTGCTAAATATTTTTCTGAAAATGGCCGGAAGAATCCATTTGTAAGGCATCCAAGAGAATTAGTCTTGTCACTCATTTTAGTCATATGCTATTTTTAATTAAAAAAATTTTTAAGGGGCGCCTGCGTGGCTCAGTCGTTAAGCATCTGCCTTCCGCTTGGGTCATGGTCCCAGGGTCCTGGGATCGAGCCCCGCATCGCGCTCCCTGCTTGGTGGGAAGCCTTTAAAAGTTTTTTTTTAAAGATTTTATTTTTTGTTTGTTTTTTAAAGATTTTATTTATCCATTCATGAGAGATGGAGAGAGAGAGAAGCAGAGGGAGAAGCAGGCTCCCAAGGAGCAGGGAGCCCGATGCAGGACTCGATCCCAGGACCCTGGGATCATGACCTGAGCGGAAGGCAGATGCTTAACCATCTGAGCCACCCAGGCGCCCCTGAGCAATAGTAACTTCAGTGAAAGAAGTATATAGCTTCTTTGAGGGGAAACATTATTTGATGCAAAAATTCTGGTGGTTTTGTTGTTTCAAACAGTTACTCCTCCCTTATATTAATGGTTGAAGGTAAGTTCAGCCTACCTGAACAAACTCTTTAGAATATAAGGGGCTTCTTTGCCTTTTTTTTAAATGATTTAGGGCGCCTGGGTGGCTCAGCGGTTAAGCGACTGACTTCAGCTCAGGTCATGATCCCAGGGTTCTGGGATCGAGCCCCACATCGGGCTCCCTGATTGGTGGGAAGCCTGCTTCTCCCTCTCCCACTCCCCCTGCTTGTGTTCCCTCTCTTGTTGTCTCTCTCTCTGTCAATTAAATAAATGAATAAAATCTTTAAAAAAAAAATTGATTTATTTTAGAGAGCACATGTGGGGAGGGGGGTAGAGGGAGAGGGAGCGAAATGCCTGAGCAGGCTCCCTGCTGAGCCGAAAGGCTGATGCAGAGCTTGATCCCAGGACCCTGAGATCATGGACCTGAACTGAAATCAAGAGTTGGACGCTTAACCGACTGAGCCACCCAGGTGCCCTATAAGGGGGTTTCTTAAATTGGGGTAATAGTCAAGGGGAGAATAACTATAATTTTTTAAAAATGTGTAGTTTGTACCACTTTATAGCATTTTAATCTTTATAATTCTGTATTTTACAGTTAAAAAATAGATTCAAAGACATTAAGTGACTTGTCCAAGATCCACAACTAATGAGTGGTTACGACCAGTATTCTTTGTGACCAAAAAATCCCACTGTTCCACCTAACCAGCTATACTATACATCTGCTTTTACAAGGTAGTATACATAACATTTAAGGGAAGATGATTTCCTTTTTCATAGTGTCTAGCAATATAAAAGTCACTATTTTTTAACTGAGATGTAATTGACATGTAACAGTTTTAGGTGTACACCATAATGATTCAATATATGTATATTTTGTGAAACAAGATTCATCACAACACAGTTACAATTTTTTCTTGTGAGAACTTTTAAGATCTCTCTTATTGGCAACTTTCAAATATACAACACAGCATTATTAACTACAGTCACCATGTTGTAATTTTATCCCCAGGACTTATAACTGGAAGTTTGTGTCTTTTGGCCACCTTCCCCCACTTTGTCCACCCCCCACACCCAACCTCTGGCAACCACTGGTCACTACATTTCTTTATGTAATGTTTGATTCATATATAAAAATATATGCATGTGGGGGTAATGAATAATAAATGCCTATGTACACACTAAGAACTAGAACATTTCTGATAGTATTGACTGTACCTTCATGTTCTTCCCAATTCCAGTACCCAGTTTACCCTCTTCCCCAGAGGTAACTATTGTCCCGAATCAATCAATTTTTTGTTCTATTTTTTGTTTTTTGCTTTAAATATATATATTATCCCACATAATGTTTACTTTTTTTGGTGAACTTTATGCAAAGTAGTATTGTACTTAATATGTAGTCTTCTTATGTTACTTGATTTTTCCATTCAACAGGCTCATTTTTATAATTTAATTGGGTATAGTTTTCCTTATTTTTGTTTTTGGCTTTTACAGACAATTCTAAAATGAACATTAATATAGTTTCTTGGTACAGATGTACAAGAATTTCTTTACAGTGTATCCCTAGAAGCAGAGTTGGTTGTAATGTATGTAGCTTTTTAAGTTTTATAAGAAATAATAGTTATTTTCCAGAATGGTTGTGCTAGTTTACAATATGGTTTATCATTTGCTTACTACTGGAAGATCTGATTCTTGCCAATCTGGTAGGTGAAAAATGACATTTTATTGTGGCTTTAATTTGCATTTTCCTAATGAGTTGAACATGTTTTCACTATTCTTGTTTCTTCTGTGAAATACTTCTTGGTGTCTTTTGTCATTTTTTTCTTAGAAGAGTTCTTCATAATAGGATACTAATATTTCTACTGTTAATTTTAACACATTCAAATGTAGTTATTTTTATGTCTTAAGATTTTTTTTTTTTTTCTTAAGGGACCACC